CGCTGTACACACTCAGCAAACTACCGGTGTGCTTATGGGGGGAAAAAAACAAGATAAATCTCTGGAACACCATCTTTTTTAATTGTGGACTTTTATTGCCTTGTACTTGGATAGGAAAGTGAATGATGACAGGAAAGGGTGGGAGAGAGAGAGGGGAATATGGGACTGGGAAATGATGCAGTCTGTACTTGAACCTGCGCCCCACTGGAGCACAACGGCCTTTATGTGTCTAAGCACATGCTAGACAGCAAAACATAACAACATTCAATGTAAAGCAGATATTTTATACCACTTAAGGGCTATTTAAATGTGTTCAAAAGTGTTTTTAGATGTTTAGATTAATTTCGGATGCTTAATATCCAGATTCATCCTCTTATTTACTTTAACTGCTATGGCTTTATGGTGCCTCCCAAACAGGTCAACTTTGGCTCAACCATAAATTTAGGCCGGAATTACTTATAATAAACTGTTTATCAGCTAACTGACAAGTTCAGACAAGCAATGGCAAACTGGCCTTTAGACATCTTTAAAAATAAAAAGGTCCAGCTCACATCAGTAAGAGACAATGCGCTAGCCGAATAGCCTTTTCTGCTAGAGAGATCTGACCCACAGCTGGACAGTGAAGTATCATCATCATCTGAATCAACTCCTTCATCCTGTAACATAGAAGACAATATAAACAAAAATGGCAAAGCAAAACATAAGGTTACTTTTGACAAGTCAAGCAACTTACTCTGATCAACACTGCACACTGATGAAATTATATTTCAAGTGCTGCAACAGTATAAATTATATTTGCAGGATGAACAGTAGCTCACCTCCCAAGCATCTGCAGTGTAGGAAGGAGTTTTAGAAGTGGATCCCTTAAGTAAAGCCTCTAGATCTGACACTCCGTGTTTTTGTCCTAAAGAAATCAAAGAATAAAGCTCAAATAAGATATAAATCCATGTATATCTACCGGGAGAAATCTAACAGGTTAAACCTGAGCTTAAGTGAACAGACACAATACAGGGAGTGTCTCTCTCAGATATCAGGCCTTGAGGGCACTTCAGAAATCAGATACGCCATTTTCACACTTCAAGCTAACAGGGTGAATCAGCCTCTAATATTAGATGCCATAATCATTTACCTTTCATTTCTGTTGGATCTGGAGATTCAAATGGCATAATGACTATTGTAGGAACCGTATCATCTCTAGTCTCCTGCTTTGGCTCCTGAACGGTGATCTTCTGCAGGACGAGTGGTCTTGCCTTTTGAGCTCTTGCCAGAACACTTAGTAGAATATCTGACTCTGTCCTCTGCTCGGTTTCAGCATTGTCCTCCTCACCCTTCATCTTTGAAGAACCTTCACCCAGTCCAGCAACATTTTCACTTGTAGGTTTAGCAGGTTGAATTGGTTCAACAACAGTTCTGTCGATATGTTTAGTGTTAACTTGCACTCCAGCATTTCCAGTGTGCACTAATTTCCCATAATCTGTCATTGAAAGATAGTCTTGGCTTAATTCTGCTAAAACTTGACTCTTATTGTTAGTGTCTTTTGGTAGGATCTGATCATTTGATGACTTCATCTTTATTTTTTCTTTCTCTTCATGCGCATCAAGATATCTTTGCACAGTTTTGTCACTGACGCTTGGTTTTAAAGGTGGTGATGACATTTTGGAATCTTCTACTACACTTATATCAGCTGTTTTATTCTGCAACAGCTCATTTTTATTAGGTGTTTTCTTTTCCATTTCCACTGGTCGGTCATTGCCAGAATCACTGGAAGCATCTTTCCTCTGCAGAGTGTCAGAGGGAAATTCATCAGAATCCATTTCAATCCCCCATTTTAATGACTGACTTTGGGATGCTTTTTCAGCAGAACAATGCTTATTGATTTGTTCCTCACCAGCTACACACTCAACTACTTGATCTGTATCTGTCTTAGCAAGTAAACCAGCGCTTACATTTTTCGCTTCACCTCCCTTCCTGTTTGAACTTGCCTCATCATTAAGAATATCTCTGGAGACCATCTTTCTATTATCATGCTCATTAGTAGAGTCTGAGGGACACAGTTTATCGCTCTCAGACTCTCTAAACGTACATTCAGCTGAACACTGCTGATCTCTGCATGTACTATCTTGGAAAGCATTAGTATACTTGTTAACCTTCTCTGAAGCTTTGTGATCTGAGTGCCTAGTCAATTCTGGCCCATCACTGGTGAAAACTAAGGAAGTCTGTGGTTGATTCTGAAACTCAGTTGATGAACATCTTTCTAAGAAAACATCTTTAGGTTCAGCTTGAGATACAATTTGAAATGATGTTTGATCCATGAAATTTAAAGACGGAGGCTCTATGTTTGGACTTGATGTGTCCTGCTTCTTTAAGGCCTCTGTATTCTCAACATGCAATTTTACCTCTTTTTGATTAGGCCCAACACTATTGCTTTCATCATGCACAGGTTTCACTGTGCTCGCTTCGAGGGAGATCTTCACCCAGTTCTCTTCAAATGATTGGTCTTTCCGTAGTGCTGGAGGGAGTGAAACTTTTCTCCTCGGCTCTGGATTTGTTGCATGTTTTGTGGTGCCTCTTTCAGGTTTAGTGTCTTGAACTGCACTGAAGAAGGGAAAAACTGTTGTTGTTTGGTCACCAGAGAGCTCTTTGGGTTGTGCTTCTGATGAATTGCGTTGTGGGTCAGTGCCATTGAGGACACGATTGCCATCAAGTTCTGCTCGTAGTTTTTCTTTTCTCCCAGGTATTTGTGGAACAGATGAAGTCTCTGTAAACACAGATCATTTGTACTGAAAAGTATGACCAAAACATCACCAAATTGAACTTAAACAGTACTGTTTTTTTTTTGGTTGTTGTTGTTGTTTTGTTTTTTTTTCAAATATAAACTACCATTCAAAAGTTTGGGGTGAGCGAGGGTTTTTTTTTTTTTTTTTAAAGAAAGATGCATTTATTTGATATAACAACGGTCCTGAAAAAAAGGCCAGTTTACACAAAAATATTAAATATTAATATGAAATGTTTCTTGAACACCAAATGAGCATATCAGAATGATTTCAATGGATCATGTGACACTGAAGCCTAGATTAATGATGCTGAAAATTCAGCTTTGCATCACAGGACAAAAATAACATTTTTATATATATATATATATATATATATATATATATATATATATATGTGCGTGTGTGTGTATATATATATATATATGTATATATATTCAAATAAAAACAGTTATTTTAAATTGTAATAATACTTCACAATATTATCGTTTTTGCTGTATTTTTTGACAAATTATCGCAGACTTCATGATCATATTTAAAAACATTTAAAAATCTTACCAACCCCAGATTTGAACAGTATTGTAATTCTCTACAAAACATTCATGATTGCTCAATGACTAATTTATATTAAAAATTAAATCCATGTTTATTCATGTGATTAAAACTCACCACTATCCATAAAGTCATCATCAGTATATTGATGATAAGTCTGTGAATAAATAAAGATAAAATAAAATGAAATTAAATAATAAAAAATGAAATCAAATAAAAATAAAATTCTGGTCTTACATTCTAAATATTCACAGAAAAATAAAATATATAAATTGAGACAAACCTCTTTACTAAGGGCTGGATGAATTAATCTAGGGTCAGCTGACGGTCTACAGTGGACAGAAAAAAAATATATATCATTACTTGTCCTGGATTATTCTATATACTAAAAATGTACATATTGAAAATCAATCTAAAATTCATTTGGTTGGCATGTCAGTGCTGTAAAATAAAGGCCATTACTTTGAAAGTGTGTTGTGATCCTCCTTTCCATTCTCTTTGTTCTTGTCTAGTGTATCATTCAGGAACGGGTTGAGTTTATGAGCTGAGTTTAAAAAGAAATGGCAAATATAATCAGTTCTGACATATTCAAAACTGCTTGATTCAAACCTAGATGCAAAGTAGTTCATATTCACTTAACAGTTACAGTAGCTAAGGGCAATATGTATATATGACTCAGTCAGAATACAAAAGTTTGAAATGACAGACAGGTGTGGTGTATGTATGTACTCAAAGATAACGGCATGAGCTCAATAAGGAAGGTATGAACTCCTGCATACCTGCTGTTTTCTTCCATCTCATGGAGGACCTCACCACTGCTGTGACATCCGTCTGGTCTCCGTATCGCCTGACCTTGAGCTCTTCAAACCACTCACCTGTCAAAGTCCTCAGCTGCGTAAGGTCAGGGACTGACTGCCTCAGTTTCCTGATATGTCATAAAAAGCACAAACAGGGTTCACCCAAAATGACATTTCTGTCATAAAATACCTTTTAAGTTGAACAGAAGAAAGAAACTCTTATAGGTTTGGAACAACCTGAGGTGGAGCAAATGATGACAGAATTTACATTTGTGGATGAACTATCCTTTTATGTAAGTTAAAAGGATAGTTTTACAGTTAACTCAGTTAACAGTTAACTCTCAGAGGCCGACTGCAGCAAATGCAGAACACATGTTATTTTCACTAAATATGGGTCAACAGATGCTCACACTTGGTTTATCATAACAACAAGCTGAAGTATGGCAGCAACATATTTACAATTTTAATGTGCCAAATGCCAACTGACACCACTGCTGACAGTTTTGGATCAAATTCAGCTATTTTTACTATATTAAATTTAGCTATTTTAACAGTAATATTTTTCTCAAATACCAACATGTTTAGATATATACAAATGCCAACACTCAAATAAATACATATATACATTTTTTTAATTAGTAAAATAAATGAAAATACTTTAAGACCTAAAATTTTATTCAAATTAAAATAAATTCAATTAAAAATTATTTTAAATAAATAGATAACCAGTAACTTCCTAAAAACTTTCATGGGGAAAAACAGGAAAATACATCATGAGTACATGTGTTTCTGTGGTAAGTATGCGTACTTATAGAATACAGCTCCACATGAACTATCCTGCAGACTGCAGTGAAGGTCAAACAACCATTTCCTACCTGACTCGTCCACTCTCCAGTCGTTTTAAATCTTCATCTCTCAGAAGCACTTGACGGATGGCTGCCTCTTCCTCAGCAGATAGAAAGCTCAAGTCAATCAATTCCAGTGCACTTTTTGATTGTTTCATCCTGGTCAATAAAAACAAACGCTTTCCAGCAGCAGAGAACTTTTCCCCAAGGTAAGCTGCCAACAAACCGCCGCGTATACCTCAAATCAGAAATTTGTCAACCCACGTCCAATCCTTATGAATCCGCGACTGCACAGGTAACCTCCACTCCCTCCGATGTGTTCAGCTGCTTTCGAGTGATTGAGGAAGAGGGCTGCTGCAACTTTTAACGCGCGTGTCACAGTCATTCACATTCACACGGGGTAAAAAAAGACGACGACGTGACGCCATCTGTCAACATTCAGTTTGAGAATAGAGTTAATGTTTCCCTAACCATGTCCTTCAGGGGTAACTTAGTTTCCTAAACCACAACAAATAGAAGTTAAAAATGTTTCAATAATGGTAATTAAGCAAAAAAAAAAAAAAAAGACATAAAACTTACAAAATATCATTAAGAATTAAGCATTGACATTTACTCATAAAGTCCATTATTATGTTATGAATCAAAAATGAAAATACTTCTCTGTTTATGTTTCCTCATCCAGACATAAAACTATTAAGCAATGTGCTTTTGTGCTGGAAGACACACCTAATTCATGTTCCAACATGCTTTTCTGCTGTAAAATTGTATGAAAATGGCAGACCAAATAAGAAGTAGAAGGGTTGAAGACCATCAACGTCAAGAAGGAAGATGACAAGATTATATCATATTTCTTCTGATGATAATGTTTGTGGTTTCCTGTTACTTGGTTTTGTGAGTTTTCACACAGGAGATTAGAGACATATTAATGTATGCTTTCTGATTTTGGAGGCCATTTTGTAAAGACAACCAAGATTTCAGAGCTCAACATTTATATCTCTAGGATTCTTTATAGGTGTGCATTAGCAGTTGACTTTGGTGTGTTGCTGAAAGCACAATGTTGACCCACACCGCACCTTTTAGATAAATCTTTTGCAATGTCTTGTAATCATTTCCTGAATATCACACAGATAGTAAGGGCCCAGCTGCTGAAAAAAAACAACAACATATTTTTGCTTATTGAAATTGGTTGGCTGTAGTAAACATCAGTAAAAACATATCACTCAAACACCAGTAGATGGCAGTAATTACTCAACAAAAGCACATAAGGACTGCTGATCATTCTGTGTGTGTGTGTGTGTGTGTGTGTGTGTGTGTGAGAGAGAGAGTGTGTGTGAGAGTGTGTGTGTGTGTGAGA